AAGTTTCTTTATCCAAATCAGGACAGTTTTGAATTAAAAGGGGGTATGATTAATGATTAAGCCAGGACAATAGGCATGAATCAGGACTAACCCAGGAAAACCAGGCTATAGAGCCCCCTTATCTTTAGACATCTAAGTCGAGAGGCTGTTGAATGAGTGTGGAGATAAGGGGTGTTCATATAAAGCTATCTGCATACAGGGGGGATTTAAGATAATGAGCTCACTTAGAGAGTAAAGGAAGACAGTGGAGAGATAGAAGGACTGAGCCCCAGGCACTCCAGGGCTTAGGAGTTTGAAACTGCCATGGCACCTGACCTAATTGCCTGAACTACTCTGTTTATATGGGTATCTCTCCTACCCTCCTAGAACAGGGGTGGGCAAACTTTTTGACTCGAGGGCCACAATGGGTTCTTAAACTGGACCGGAGGGCCGGAACAAAAGTAAGGATGGAGTGTTTGTGTGAACTAATATAAATTCAAAGTAAACATTACATAAAAGGGTACGGTCTTTTTTTTTTTTTAGTTTTATTCATTTCAAACGGGCCGGATCCGGCCCACGGGCCGTAGTTTGCCCACGGCTGTCCTAGAATGTGAGTTCCTTGAGGACAGGGCCTTCCTGAGACACATTTCTCTATTCCCAGAGCCTAAGAGAGGACCTGGAGCACAGCAGGCACTGAGTTTGTTTGCTGTGTGAATGAGGCAATCAAGTACATTTTAGAAGAGTACAGCAATGTTGGTCAAGAGGTAATATGCCTAGCCACAGAATCCAATTCTACTCCCTCATTCTGAAGTTTAACTCATGAAGTACAAAGATCTACTGAAGAAACACTGAGGCCCTGTGAACTTGCTGCACTAAATTTAATCCTTAGAGACATCTTGACCCTGTCTTTCTAGGTAACATTTCCACTTATCTAGTCTGACTAAACAGTTTGCTTTCTAAAAATCCCTTGTTTTAGGACAAGCAGAGAAGGTTCATATGCCACTCTGATAGCTGGTTCACTTAATATGGTGATAACAGATAACTAGTTTGACACTATCCCTGGATCCTTTATGTATATACACCGGGTAGACTAGAAGAAAATAAGGACATCTCAGGGCATGAGCAACATAAACACAAAAAAAAAAAAAGCTGAAATGAGTGAAAAAACAAAAAGATGCAATGTGTACTTGTTTACCAGTCACAAAAAAGAAGTAGCTACAAGAATTTTAAAAAGTTCAAAAGGTGCTATAGGAAGTCAGAAAAAAAGAGAAGAAAAAGAAAGCAGAAGAAAGAGGAAAGGAAATGAAGACTAGCAGAAGTGGTAATACAAAAGAGAAGTGGTTATAACAGCAAGAAGAAACAGCTATGAGAGGAAGGAAGAAAATTCAGTTAAACCAGTTCAGAAAGCTGAGAGATACAGTATACAGTCCTTCAGGATGTCACTGCAGTGGCAGCTGACCCCAATGTCAAGGAGTAAGGTCAAATTAGTTGTTCTCTTCTCCAGTCCCCTAGCCAACATTTACTGAAACCCATATGGTGCTGGACAAGGTATATATAACTATTTAATAATTCTTAAAACATTTTATCAAAATTGTTAAAGTAAAAAAAGCAGGGACTTCGAATATTAACCTGACATTATCTAGAAATCTGATCTTTTAAAACAATCACTATGTTGAACACATGAAAACTTAATGACGCTCCACATGCACAACAACTGGTCACTAATTCAACACAAATTAAAAGGTTAACATATGATCCAACTTCACAAATAACTAGTCCACCTCTTTCCCAACCAAAAATTTAAACATTGCCTTCCGTCCAAAAAGCTTGGAAGGATGTGTGACTCACCGTCAGTGGCAGCAATGGTAAACTCATCACCGCAGGAGACCCTGATCACTTGCTTCCCACCGAGAGGTCCCCCCAACAGGTTGATTCCTAGACGCTTTTTATAATTCCCAACACCCAGCTGTCCACATTTGTTGCAGCCAAAGGTCAGCAGCCGGCCTCGCTCTGCAAGAGAAGCAAAAATAAATAACCAGGCACAAATGGGTCAATGGAACAGAGAGAAAAAGCAAGCCAATACAGAGTTCCACGGACTAGCTTCTGGTTGTTAAGAGTACATACACAAATACAAAGCTAGCCACACGGTCCTGGACCTAGGGAGCTAGGGTATATAGAACTATCACCAATTAGAGCCAGGAAGTGACTCAATATTCTATTTCTCTCTCTAATATTGGATTTAAAATGTAGAAAATGGGTACTGCTTAACTTAGAAAATTTACACATGGCTGTTGTCTGCATTGTAAGTGTGACATTCTCATTAAGGCATGTATTGATTATGCATTTATAATTACCAATAAACATCTACTTGAATGCCTTAATTTGTTAATGAGAATATACTGGGGTGCCAGTGGAAAATCAGGAGAATGTATATATAGTTTACAAAAAACTTATACTGACTAGTGGCCCGGTGCACGAAATTCGTGCACATTAAAAGGGGGATTAATTAGAGGAAATATTTTAATATTGCTATTTGCCCTTTCTCTATAATAGAAGTGTCAAAGATGAAAGAAAATTAGTAAAATGTATATGAAAATCTTCCTCCTGTCAGAGTCTGGTGCGCACCACAGGACCCAGAGTCAAGTCCCCGCCCACGCATGTGCGCCTCAAAATCGCGCGAGACCCAGACCCAGCCAGTACCCCCGCATTGGGCTAGATCCAGACCCAGCCGGACCCACCCTTGTCAAGCCCTGCAGTGTAGGGGGCGCAGCCTGAGGTCCCCTGTCAAGCCCCATGGGGGGCGGGGCACAGCCTGAGGTCCCTGCTGATTGCTCGTTATGGGAACTCGGCCTCTGCTGTGGGTGCAGCCATTTTGGGTTATGGAACCTCCCTCACCCCCGTCTCTGCTGTGGGCGCTGCCATCTTTGTGGCGGAGTGACAGTCAATTTGCACATTCCCTCTTTATTATATAGGATAGCCTGAGCTACTAAGGCCTGTATGTACAGTCGTAAATCAACTCACCATCAATAGCAGCTGTGTGAGTCTTGCCTGGGGCAATTGTTCGGATCTTATAAAAGGACAACTGTTTGGCCAATGTAAAGGAGGTTGTGTAGGGAACTTCATGGTATGCCTGAAACGAGATATAACAAAAGTGGAGACTCATGAGGTAAAAAATGGAGGGGTAACAGGTTGAAAATGTCACAATGACCAAAAGGCCTTTCAGGCAAATTGTGGGGAAACGCACAATTTCATCATGCTCCTCAGAACAGTGGGCAATTTAAAATTTATGAATTACTTATTTCTGGAATTTTCCATTTAATATTTTTGGACTGTGGCTGACTGTGGGTAACTAAAACCTCAGAAAGCAAAACAGCGGATAAAGGGGAACTACTGTAATGGTAATTTTGAATATGCCTTTTCAAACCACACAGACACCCTCCCTAGACTTGCCCTGAATTTGAGAATCACTACTTCAGAGACTGCTTTAAAAATTAATTCTTATCTTTTCCATTGAGTCAGAAAACTTTTGTCTCTTATTTTTAATTCTTTAGAAAATATTAAAAATTCATCATACTAACACAAAGAGGAGACTAAAATTTAGCATCAGTGGTGAATTTCATGACATCCTTGAAGGAGGTAAATGGTAATTACATGTAATAAGCCTGTACAGGATCAGTGATTTGGGAGCAATAAATCTAAAAACTCTCCAGAGATGTGGCACATGGAAATATATTTTCATAATGTTAATTTTCTTATGCCTATTTCAGTGATAAGACAGAACCTGAATTCCATCACTTGATTCTTTGTAATCAATTTATTTATTGAGGTATAACAAACTATAAAATGTTAGACAGCTGGATACATTTTTCTGTATGCATACAAATGTAAAACTATCACCCTGATCAAGATATAGACCATTCCCATCACCTTATAATCCAGCAGTTCTCAACCTGTGGGTCGAGACCCCTTTGGGGGTCGAATGACCCTTTCACAGGGGTCGCCTAAGACCATCGGAAAACACATATATAATTACATATTGTTTTTGTGATTAATCACTATGCTTTATGTTCAATTTGTAACAATGAAATTGGGGGTCACCACAACATGAAGAACTGTATTAAAGGGTCGTGGCATTAGAAAGGTTGAGAACCACTGTATATAATCCCTCTTCCACCCCTTCTGTTAATACCCATTACCCTCCTCCCAGAAGTAACCACTGTTTTAGCTTCTGCCATCATCAGTTAATTGACCTGTTCTTAAACTTTATATAATTGGGATTATATAGTATGTACTCTTTTGTGGCTGGCTTCTTTTGCCAAACATGTCTGTGAGATCCTCACTTTATTCTTAAGTCAAATTCCATGGTCACTAACCAATAATAGCATTCCCAAAGAGATTCTGACAATTTGGCCAGGACACTAAAGGAGATACTCACTTCATGGTTGATGATACCAGACATACACTGATTCAGACCCAGTTTGTTGAATTCATTGAGTCCACAAGCCAGCACTTTGCCTGACTGGGTCAGCAGAAATGTCCCATCACAGCCACACTGAACAGCAACAATAATCAAGGCCTTCGGAACATCCACCTGCAAGGGAGAAAAAAAATCCCTCAAATGTAACTTGTATTAGGAAAAAACCCTGAGATTCTTTCAAAAAAATGTCCTACATTTAACAGAATGACTACAGGGAAGTAAAGATTGCTCTAAGGCTACTGTTTTCAATAAGAAGCTCAGGTTTTATAATAAAGTAAAAGGCAGTTCCAGGTCAGCTAAACAGACAGCCCCTGTCAAAGCTTGCTTTCCGGACAATCCTCCTTAGGAAAACTTCTCAGAAAAATTGGGAAAGGAGAGGCTTCGCTCATTGCTGATGCTACCCTCTGAGACAGAAAGCTCAGGACAGTTATAAAAGAAACTCAGTAGCCCTGTGGGGTCCCAGGCTGGTCATGTTATAAGTGAGAAGACAGAGTACTGAGGTACCAGCCAGGACTTCCAAATGCTCACATCCCTCTGCAGCTAACCAGATAGGGCTGGAGAATGGAGGTGGGGGAGGGGGGAGCGGCGGGGGGTGGGGGGTGGGGGAGGGGAGGTTGGGGGTTGGCACATGATGGATGTCTTTGAAACCTGAAAACTCAAACCTCAAAGTTCCGACTACAGCCTTTTCAGAAGGAGAGGCACAGCTGATAATCCCACTGAGAATGGTCCCACAAATATATGTTAATTTTTTAAGTGTAAATAAACACTTGCAGTGAATGAGATAGTGGATTACAGCCAACCTTCGAGTGGTCAAGCCTGTGCCCTAGGGTGGGTGTGAGAGGTGACCATGCTCTTCCCTCAGCTGGTTTCAGCTCCTGTGCTTAAAGTGCCAGCTCTTGCAGTGATGGGAGTAATTAGATATTATGTTTTATACAATGTGACCCCTAAATACAAAAACTAGTTCAACTGGGGAAATAGGAGGGAGAAGGATTGTGTTGGGCTAAAAGACAGTATGTTGTTTTCCAGTATCTTTCCAAGGAGTTTTCCAGGGTATATTTAGCTCAATGTGACTTTTTCACTGTACAAGCTAATTTTAGCTCTCATCCCAAGTAAGATGTGACTCCACAGTGTCTACAGAGGCTGTATCCTCTTTGTTAATTTTTTATGACTTAGTCAGATGACAAGACCACATAGTGCTAAATCTGGAATCCTGGATTGTCAGTGTCCCAGATAGAAAATATTTCAGAAATAAACACCTTGATATGAGGAGTCAGAGAAAGAGGACATATTAATGCAGTCTGTGTGACCTAGATAGGCTTTAGGAAGCAGCTGCTTCTGATTTTACCTTTTGTGGTGTATAATAATCCTCTTCTGAATCCAAACCCAGTCGTCCTGAGACACACGTAAGAAAGAAGATCATTAAAATCTTCCCATGGACACAGACAAGGGGGTGGTGAGGACCTGGGGCGGGGGCAGGCTGGAGGGGGTCAATGGGGGAAAAAGGGGGACATATATAATACTTTTAATAATAAAGAATTATTTTTAAAAAATGAGGGCCTCCTTCCCAATGAAAATGTCCCAAAGATTCTCCTTTACTGAATTAACACTTCTCAAGTAGAGGCTACAAGATGTGTTTAGATGCACACAAGCCTGAAAGCAGGTTGTGTGCCTGGGAATAAGTGGACAGAGACAGGGCTACACCTACCATATTCACCACAGCCCCAAGAATAGACTTCTTTGTTTCGTGTCAAAACCACCACATGATTATCTCCACAGGAGACCTGCTCCACTGGATTGTTCAGGAAGAAGTCCAGCTGCATGGGCTCTAGTACTTCGGGGCCAGCAACCTTGTCCACCCCCATGCAACCATAATAATCAGATCCAAAGGCATAGAGCTGACCCTCATCTGTAAAGGGAAGGGAAGCACAACTCATCAAAAGAATGACTTATTTTGTCCAATCAGAAAGCTGGGCAGGACTGAAATTAGGACTACCCTAGCCAATGAGCTCACATGAGATGATTACATCAGAGAAATCTGAAGGATAGGCTGTGCAAGTCTAAAGTTGTTTGTATTTATAGGATCACTTGTACTGTTACAATAACAGTTTTAAAAAGTGGTAGTATCCTCATCTTAAAGGCTTACATTTCTACTGGAGTCATCTCTATTTTATAGAGAAAAAGAGAAGTACTAACGAATCATAAAATGAATACTGACAAGACCAAACTTAATTTTAGCTCTTAATTCTTGATTTAGTGTTATCCACACCTGACTAGGTGGTGAAGTTATTTTTCTCCATACCTGGGACATTCCACATCCCACCTCTTCTCTCTTACCCACCTGCTTTCTCCTTGCTCATTACCACCCTAATATTATAGCAAATTGAGCATGTTATTATTGTGTATATCTGCTCATTGTCTTTGGTCCTGTGAATACTGTCTTTTGTTATAAAATCACAACTAAAACTGCACAGCATAATACCCCACATTAAATATACTTGGATGCTTTCTGCTGATGGCTTACCTGTCACACAGACAGTGAAATCATCACCACATGACACCTGATGAATAGCTTTGCCTTGCAACTTTTCCACATGCTTGGGCTGTCGGTAGGAGGCTTTGTCTCCATGGCCAAGCTGACCATGGAGTTTAGTGCCCCCTTGCATGTTCTGTGAAATAAAGAGGTCTTGTGAAGTTTTAACTTTTCATGCCAAAAAGCTAATCTTCAATATAACTTTTTATAAAGAAAAACAATAGGAAAAATATCAGCTGGAAATTTAGAAATGAAAAAAAATGGATAAGGAGATTAAACTGTTATTTATTTATTTGATTAAACCTTTTAATCGTAGGTAGTAAAAAACTCCTGCCAGCAGGTAAAGATTTAAAAGTATCCAAATTGATATCCACCAGGTCTTAAAAGGACACAGTTCCAATTTTGCCTTTTTCTTTTAATTCTAAGGTGAACCATATATTTAACTAGAGACCCGGTGCACGACATTCGTGTACTGGGGTGGGGGGATGTTCCTCAGCGGAGCCTGTACCCTTTTGCAGTCTGGGACACCTCGGGGGATGTCCGACTGCCAGCTTAGGCCTGCTCCCCATGGGAGCGGCTTCCGCCACCACTGCTGCACTTACCAGCCATGAGCCCGGCGTCTGGCTGAGTGGTGCTCCCCCTGTGGGAGCACACTGACCACCAGGGGGGCAGTTCCTGTGTTGAGCGTCTGCCCCCTGGTGGTCAGTGCACATCATAGCGACCGGTCGTTCAGTCGATTTGCATATTAGGGTTTTATTATATAGAATTATGGGTGATGATAAAAAAATTCTTTTATATAGTCTAATTTATTTTCTATTGGAGTACATCCTCTTGGATAGTCTCACTAGAAGTTTTACAAATTTGGTCACAGTTTCCCTGAAATATGCAAGAGTTATAAAGAATCTGGCTACATCAAAGAGGCTGCTATACAGCATAGAGAATAGTCCTAAATGACTTTCCAATATTTTAATAGAGATAAGTAATTCTTTTCATTCAATAACTCAACTCTAAATTCTTATATAAATTTTTTATTTTTATATTTCTAGAGAGAAAGGGAGAGGGAGAGAGAGAAATAGCAATGTGAGAGTGAAACATCCATCAGCTGCCTCCTGCATGCTTCCTACCAGGCGTTAAGCCTGCAACCCAGGCATGTGCCGTGATGGGGAATTCAACTGGCAACCTTTCGCTGCCCAATCAACTGAGCCACACCAGCCAGGGCAAGTCTTTATATAAATGTTTTTTAAGGCACTAATTTCACTCTACTTTTGGCAGCACACACAGGGGCTAGTTCTTTCAGGGATAGTGTTTTATGAAATAACAAGTTACCACTCTACAATAGATGCCATATCATTCATTCTTTCTATCCATCAATAGATGAGTTTCTCTATTATGTCACCCACTTAAAGCCTGTCCTCCTAAAGCCTACAGAAAATTACTGGAAAAAATTACCTCCCTCAGGAAGAGGAGGAAGAGTGAGAACCAAGGGCCTAAGACAAGATCAGGTAAAGGAAAAGCAGTCTAAAATGAGCCTGAGCAGGCATAGCTGAAGAAACAGGAGGAAAGCAAAGGGAACATGCTCTCATGGGAGCCAAGGGAAGAAAAGCTTCAAGAAGAAAGTGGTCAACTTTAACTGTATCACATGCTGCTGGGAGATCAAGCAAGATAAGGACTTGCTTACAAAAAGCATCTGTTTTATTTTCACAATTTATAAGTCACTTTGTTAAGAGTAGTTTCAATCAAATGACAGAGATGAAAGTTGCATTGTTGGTGAATGAGGAACGAGAGGGAGATAAAAAAATAACAATACAGGTGATCTGTTCAAGAAGGTGAGAGATAGGATGGAATCTAGAGGGGAACAAAGAAAAATCCTATTCAAGATATACCTAGCCATCTTCAATCACTGATGGAGGTCTTGGAATTTTCCTGCCACAGCACACTGCTTCATTTGTTTACAAAGCTATTTCACAGATACTAGTTGCTCTGAATCTCACCGTAATAGAACAGGGTAATTAAGTGACTTTCTTAAATGAGAGTCCAGTTTCCTAAGTCCAAACCTAGAGCTCTTAAAAAAAAATTCAGAGAGGAAGGGAGAGGGAGAGATAAAAACATCAATGATGAGAGCGAATCATTGATCAGCTGCCTCCTGTATACTGCACACTTGGGACTGAGCCCACAACCCAGACATGTGCCCTAACCAGGAATCGAACTGTGACCTCATGGTTCATGCCAGCTGGGCCAAACCTCTGGCTCTTTTAATTCTTTCTCTCCCTCTCTTTCTCTCACTCAATTCATTTAAAAAAAAAAATTACAAGAGACCTAATATGTACCAGGCTTTGGGCATACATCAGTGAATTCTAAAAAGACAAAATCAATGTTCTTTATATTCCTTCAGCCCATGCTGCTACTCCTGCAGCACATGTTCAACTTAGACATCTAGGTCCAGTAAACAATTATGCTTACATCACTGTTCTGAAGTACTGAGCTTTCACTTACCACCCAGGTGTACAGTTCCTTCTCCACTGTGACCACAGCAAAGTGGGTGTTCCCTGCACACACCTGCCGAGCACTACAGCCACTCTTGATGACATCCAGTTTTTGGGGAGTGGATTTTCCACCACCCCAAACATAGACTTCACTGGTTCGTGATGTTACCACAGCAATGGGTGCTTCACTCACAGTGCTTGACCTGCCAACAACCCCAGAACAAAGGCATATTTAACATAAAAACTGTATCATAGAAAAATGCTTCCAGTCTGTTCCCTGAGAACTGCCAATTATGGTATGAGAAAGTATGTTCTTTCTTGACAACCTATTTTAACCTTCTATCATTGCAGGCTTTGCAATTCCTGCCTCAGGGCTTCATCACAGCTCGGCCAGATCAGATTCCAGTCTGATCCAGAACACCTACACTTTTCAACTTTTCAACATTCATCATGGTAATGATGTCCACTTTAGCATGAGGGTGAAATTATAGCTTTCGTTTTCTCAGAAATGACTATCTGACATTTAAGCAGATGTTGGCTTCTGAAAGGAGGCCAAAGGCTAATTACTGGGATCAAACAATGCACAGACCCAACAAAGAAAGACACCCTGGTGGTAATTTAAGATATATTACTTTTCAAGAGTCTCTTGAACATTTACCTTGGTCTCTTTGTAGGTGCATTAAGCAGTGTGACTTTTTCTTCCATCTCTCTACCAAAAGAAAAGCAAAGATACATGAGCACCAGTGTCTCTTTAATATATTTCACAGATTTAATCCTCTATAAATTGTACGTGTCCTACAACATTATAGTAGTTTTAGGAAAGAACCCTGATACAACTCAAACAGTTATATAGGCTTGGCTTTAGACAATTGATTAAATACAAGGGGGGCAGCAGTTTGGGGTCATTTGTTTTCTATCTCTGAGAAATGTTCCAGGCTGGAACAGAGAACCTTGAGACCTCCGATGCACATTTTTAAATACCTGCCAACATCTCCATCTAGTCTGCCCACTGACTCCCCAAACTCAACATCTCTAAATCTCAGCTCATTATCTCTCTCCCATACAGCTTTTCTTTCTGACTTTCCTATTTCTAAAACTGCTAACCCCATTCTCCTAGTCAACAAGTTCTATAGATTCTACCTATACGATGTCCTCTATACTCACCCCTCTATTCGTCTCACCACCTTAGTTCTAGGCACCTTTACTTCCCACCTGGAATATGACAGCACTTCCTAATTGGTCTCACCACAGCTCCAATCCACTTTACCCAGCCCTATACTGATGTAACACTGACATTATTACTGTTAAGTAATTCTTAGGCTGCCTCTCATCACATGAACTGTCCTCTCATACACATCCAATGCTTCTGTACTATATCTTGAACTAAGCACAAATTCCTTTGTCTGGCGCTCAAAATTTTCTACCTACCTTTCCAGCCTTCCTTCCCTTTATTTACTGCCCATGTTTTAGCTCAGGGTTCTCATTCTGATTAAATTGATTATAGCTGAATTCCTGGGATGGTCTTAGGCATCAATATTTTTTGAAAGCTTCGGAAATGTTGCTCTTGAGAGCCCTGTGAGTATAACCACCACTAATCTAGCCAAACAGGACTTAGGGTTTCCTGAATACTTCCCACAACTTCCAGTGTCTGTGATTCATCTGGAAAGCTCTTTGTCTTACATTTTTCCATCAAAGTACAAAGTTTTATACAATATATGTATGTAAATCTACAATTATCTCAATAAAAATTGCAATTAAAAATTATAAATAGAAATAATAAGAGATTAAAATAGTGATAATACTATTGGGAAATAAATCAGATAAAAAATTTAAATATTAATCAGCCCCAAAGAGTGACACTGCCTGAATATACACAGAACATAAATGTAAGGTCACACTGCTGCACCTGGAGTATCACACATAATTCTAGGCACTAAAACACTGTTTTGGAAAAGAAGCATAAAAGATTAATTAAATGACATAACAGAATAAAGGCACTGACCAAACAGAAAAGATTGTGGAATTAGGTATATACTTAATGTATCTAAAGGGTAAGCTTGAAAAAGAGTATAGTAAATGCCTGAATATTGGGAAGATATAGAAACCAAGAGCTGGTAGGGGAGAAAAAAGGGTAGTAAGGCAAAATAATATAATAGGATGAAATACAGACTAGAACATTTAAGAAGGATAAAGAATACCTCTTCCTTTAAGTAAGGGTTTGAAGCCTCCTGCAGGAGGTGAGGCATAAAGGCCCTCTTTCCTACCACTAGAGCCCTCTAATAGAATAAATCTCAGCAAACAACCTGTTAGGAATCAATCAAGCTTGACTTTAGGAAATGGGCAAAAGGTATCCTCCAACACTAACCTACCATCTAAAGGAATGTACTTAAAAAAAAAAAGGGTCAGGTCCAAATCCATGCTCCTATCCAACAATGATTGAGCACCTTGTGCCAGGCCCTCTTTTAATCCTCACCCTACCTTACTTTATGGAGGAGAAAAGTAAGGAACAGAGATGTTAAATAACTTGACAAATATAATGACAGAACTCAGATACAAACCTAAGGATGTCTTCCCTTAATTACTAAACTCTAACGCTTAACTCTAGATTAAAACTCACAGATGGGGTGGGGGGTCCTAGGGTCTCATCAGTATAAATTTAGAACAAAATAGCACGGGCTAAGGAGGTAAAAGTCAGGAGCTACCCCCAAATAATGAAGGCAGAGATGTTGGTAATAAATAGCATCAGAGCGGCTAAGTCAGGAAACACCACCCTCTTTGTGGTATTCTGATCAGACCACTAACAGTCAATCACCTATGGAAAGACAACAGTGACTTTTTTGTACTTTACCTCCTACGTTTCCTGAGAAGGGGGCGATCTAGCAGTTCATCTGCAGTGGGTCTCTGTTCAGGATCCTAAAAAATACAAATGGAGCTAGTTTTAATATAAAGGAAATGGGCAAAATGGGATCTAAAGAGGCTTTTTATTTCCTTTTAGAAGGTTATTGGTTAATTATTCAAAGACCACTGTATATTATCCTTTGGTTTTAAAAAACATAATTTATTATGTCACACTCCATGCTTCATGTTTATCTCATTAACATCAACACTGGTACATGAGTGAAAATGAGACTTCCTCACTTAAATTTCAATATATTTAGAACATAAGAATCTTGAGTGCTTGTTACAAATAAAGATTTCTGGGCTTTATCCATAGAGATTCTGATCCAGTTGGTCTGGGTTGGGGCCCAGGAATCTTCACATTTTGCTTGTAAATGCTCCCCCCATGTCTGTGGTTCATGAACCATACTTTGAATAATACTGACCCAGAGCGACACTGAAAGACAAACTGTGAAATACTAGAACTATATATATTCTGTACATTAGGAACTCTAAATTACCTCTGACTATACTTTTATAAAATCAAGTTACAAAAATCCTGATCATAAAAAATGGAGCACTACCTTGGCCAGGTTGCTCAGTTGGTTAGAGCATTGTCCCATACACCAAAAGGTGTGGGTTCGATCCCTGGTTGGGGCACGTACAAGAGGCAACTGATCGATGTTTCTCTCTCACATTGATGTTCCTCTCTCTCTTTCTCGCTCGCTCTCTCTCTCTCTCTCTCTCTCTCAAAAGGTGAGGATTAAAAAAAAAAAAGAATAATAATAAGGAAATCCCTTTAAAAAAAAAGGGAGCACAATTTCACAAAGTAATAAAGAACAAAGCAGAACAAAATACGAATTTGTTGGCTGAAGCACACAATTATCAGTAATTTCCCATACCTATCTTTCTGGGTCTAGCTACAAATACATCCTACCTGGGAAAGAAGATGTGGTTTTGTGCAGGTTCACCTATGTCATACCTCAAACACTAAAGCTGGGAGGAAAAATACTAAACTGAAATCACTATGTAAGTCACACTTACCTGGTCAAGGCATGCATGGACCATTTGGATCAGTTCCAAAGAGTACTGACTAGAATCAACTTCCATGGCCCGGATTCCTTGTACAATCTTCACACACAAGTTGAGTGGATTCTGTAAGAAAATGATGATTGCATTGTTCTTGGTTTTATAAAGATGGCATTATAAAATACCAGTAGGGACTTTGAGATGTCTGTGCCTATTATTTAAAGGAGTAGCAATACTTTTGCATTAGGTCTGACTTCTTTTTATAACTATTACTATGCATCAACAAGAAATGGTTAGGGATGCACTGCTGCTATCAGATGGAATGAAGCCAACTGGCCAACATGGAGATATGACTATGTGGACAATAGCATTAATATTCAGACTGTATTATAATCTGACCCTTCAATTAAATCCCCTGAAAAAGGAAAGAAAGGCTAGCTATGCTTCTTGGCTTTAAATTCCTTTGCCAATTAATTTGCCTCCTAATTTATATGTCCTAACAATGGGTATACAGGTAATAGTATGCTCCAACAGACAAGGTAGTGAATGATAATAATAAGCTGATAATTATAATATTACTATTATAATATCATCACCATGTTTATAGAGACCAGTATGTACTAGGCAGGCATGTTATGTATTTGGTCTTTTTTAACCCTTGCAAACACTACACAAGGAGGTTATTATCCTTACCAATTCAGAGATGTCACTTTCCCAAGACTACAGATAGTAAAAAATAGAGCCATAATTCCAAACAAAGAATTATGTATCTGACTCATTTTCCTTCCACTATAATATCTAGAATTAGATGATACACCAGAATAAGCTTCAGAATCTAGAAAAATAAATAAGTCTCATGAAAAGCCAATGAATTTGCATCAACTAACACTTGCATTTTTCATATACACTAATCAGAGCATTTCTGTGAGAGGAATATATATTTTTTGTTACAGATAATAAAATAGAGAATCAAAGAGATGAAGTGATTTGCCTAAGTTCTCACACCTGGTTTGTAAAAGCGATCAGATGTGAACTCACTTTTGTTACTCAAATTGTGGTCCATAGACAAGTAGCATCAGTAGCATCTGGAAGCTATCACCCCTGCCCCAGACTTACTCAAACGGTCTGCATTTTAACAAGATGCCCAGGTGATTTCCTATGTTCTTATGTGTATTAACATTTGAGAAGCACTGGTTTGCAATGGGCTTTACTTAAGAAGAAAAAAAAACCTTAAAGAGAACTGTTATCCATAAGATGATAACAATCTTTAATAAGAGTCAGTGAATAATTTTTCATAAAAAAGATCAAAACACTTTAATGAGTATTATATAATTTGCCTTAGCTTTTTTTTAAAAAATGTAGCTGAAGCATAAGAAATGACGTGGCTTATCTAAACTGTAGCATTACATAGTCGATCCTAGAGCCAGTTTTAAAATTATAGTTAACAAATTCAAGCAGTGTTCGATCTACTTGATGATTATTCAATGGGGAATTCAAATTGGAGATAAATCTGGTCTACAGTATTCTAACAATACACTACTAAGCCCGTGCCAGGATACTAGCTGTTATTTTTGCCTACAGTTGATTTCTGTTCTAGAAATCAGAAGCTCAGCCCTAACCAGTTTGGCTCAGTGGATAGAGTGTCGGCCTTCGGAATGAAGGGTCGAGGGCTTGATTCGGGTCGAGGGCTTGATTCTGGTCAAGGGCATGTACCTCAGTTGCAGGCTCTATCCCTGGCCCCTTGTCAGGGTGCAGGTGGGAGGCAACCAATCGATGTGGCTCTCTCACATTGCTCTGTCTCCTCCCCTCCCTTCCACTCTCTCTAAAAAATAATCAATGGAAGAATATCCTCGGGTGAGGATTAACAAAAAAAGCTCAGGGATAAATGAAGTTGATTATCTCAATCAAGTGGTACCATTTGCAAGGACAATGTGGAGATAATACATCAACTTACTGTAGCATCAAATGTTCTCTTTAGCGTAAGCAGTTCAAAGATGACGCAGCCTACTGCCCAGATATCAGACTTGAAATTGTATTTTACTCCTTGGCAGAGCTCTGGAGACATGTAATATGGAGTTCCGACAAGCTGAACAACAAAGGAAACAATCAAATAATAATTTCTTTTCTGGGGTAACCATATTAATATTTCAACAACTAAATTAAATTTCCTAGGAACTAGTGATAACAACCATACAACATTCATCAGCATATCCCATTATGGTTTTTGTGAGATGATGTCATTATGTGGAGAAATCTTATTCACATCAAATCTCTTGAGCCAATTATAAAGGAATAATCTCTGTGGTAAAGGCACTGTGGTAATTTGGGAGCCACAACAGCTCTGTGATTTCTGGATCATAGAGGCTTGTAGGCATTCAAGGCCCACTAAGATTTCATACAGATAAAGACATACTTAGTAAAAGCTCACCAAGCAGGGAGGAAGCTGGGGAGAAGGTAAATGAATAAAGAGTTAAAAGTTGTGACTGAAATGCATAGCAATGAAGTTTTTTAAATGGCTCAATTTGACATTTGTAATACTAATATAGTTAGTAAATTTCTTTTAAATTTGAAAAAGATTTCTTGAATTCAAGAATGAATTTGAAAATAAAAATGTCCTGAATAAAGGTCATGTCTTTCCCAAGATGAGAGACAATGAGTGCCCTATCTTTAATCAGCAAAGCAAAGAAATTTTCAGATGGCTTACACAGCATTTATAATATTCTTATCATTCTTTCTTTGCATTAACTGGCTAAGAAAAATCAAATCTTGGTTTTATCAGATTATTCTTGATGCAAAAAAATCTACTTAAGACATGATTGCTTCCAGAAGCTCAATATGGCACCACTATACAAGCAGACCGAATCCCTGAAGCAGAGAATTCCAACCCTGGCTATCAGGATCCTTGGATGTCTCTATATTGCTTGCAGGCATATCGCAACATTATCGAAAAATATCATCAGAGCAAGATTAATTTTTATTAAACTTACATTTTCAAGTTCTTTTTAGGACAGAGCATTGTGAAACCAGTAGAGTAATAATTGGGTTCTATAATTCCTTAAAAGATGAGATCACTGTCCTTAAAGGTCAAGTTATGTCTATGCTTTACTAATGGTCTTTCTTAAGATCAGGTGAGAAGGGAACCCTGCAGTTCAGACTGTGTACAATATTAAAGATCAAATTGTTCTCTGGGCATCAGCCTTTTTTGTAATATATGGCTTCTGAACCAGAAAAATTCAAAGGAAACACAAAAAGAGATGTGTAACATCATAAGCTCAAATGTTAAGAGATAAAGTGAAATCTATAAAAGATCCTAGGCTGGAAAAAGCGGTAAAGTATTTTGTTTTTTAGAAAAGTCTCTAGTAAGTGTCAGAAAGGGATTTGAGGTCATACTGACAATGCAGACAATAACTCTTGAAAGAACACCTTAGCATGTAAATGCCTGTTAGTGAGCCCAGGCAAAAGACTCCTGTAGATTTGTTTTAAAAGTATGGAGAATCTGCAAGACTACTGAGAAAAGGATGCAGATTTAGGGGGAATAGTTATATCTCATGGTGCTAGAAAGGAAAAGGAAAAAAATAAGACAAGGCAACATATACTTACCGTCTCAGCCATGGAATATTCAGAATTAAGTTTCTTTGCTAGGCCATAATCTCCAAGTTTTATCAGGTTTGCCTTGGTCAGAAAAATATTTAATGTCTTTATATCTCTGGAAAAAAAAAGAAAGATGCTGGATAGCAAGGCCATATACCACACCCAGGATTAGAGAATAAAAATGAGTGTGTCACCATTGCTCAGACTGTTATGAATCCAAACGGTCATCACTTTCACACTGAAAAGGGGACTTGGTAGAGTGAAGTAGAAAATTAAACTTCATTCTCCAGGGCTTCATGGCACAGGCATGCCTCCCATACCACTAAAGCCAGTAAGAAAAGCTGAGAGGGTAAGACAAAAAAATCGTGTCCCAGGTAATTATAATTCCTACAAGGTATACTACTTCTTCAATTACCATGTATGCTTTGAATGAAGTAATATCAAGGCAATTTTAACACTCGGTTGGTGTCAAAGTTTCAAATCTGTTAAGGCAAGAGAAGAGGCTGCCTATCCCCGTAGCAACATGACTAGCTGTGTAGATCACCTAAATAAAATCACTGGCTATTTTTCTAAAGAAGAATTGACCACATGTTAAACAAACTGTGCCTGGTTTACACTCTAGCTTCCTTTACTGAAAAATGCAAAAAAAAGCAGAACAATATTCTTTGTAACTTTTGAAAAGAAAATAATATGCAGTAGTCATTTAATAGCTATCAAGAAGTGTAAGTCAACAATTAATAAACCAACAAAAAGATACACTAATCTCTGGCAATGGTTAATGACTCAAGGAGGATATAATGACTTTTGACAATAAAGATAAATTTTAAAAAACAGGACATAATGATGTGGCAATGTTCATAATGGCTCTCTCCTACAGCTACAAATGAACAGAAAACTGTTCCTCCACCCAACTATCTAGTATAAGTGTACAATTAATTATATGAAATAAATAGGCTTTTTATTCAAATTAAAAGAATTATAGAATTAAAAACAATGGCTAATTATTGTTCAGAGAAAACATTTACTGTGAATTCCAACCAATCTAATACCACTTCTCATAGTGGCTTCTAGGCTTTACTGATGAATTAATGAAATGAACTCTAAAAGCTCTCTTAAAAAATGATTGAGCAGTACTTAGCTATTAACGAAATTCTTCTTACATCACAGACATGGTTTAATTTCAGGAAGAAAATATAACACCCTTCGTTATTCACTTTCCTTTCTAAAATATATCAGTGTGCCCTGGCTGGGTAGCTCAGTTGGTTAGAAGCATCATCCTAAAACACCAAGGTTGAGGGTTTGATTCCCGGTCAGGGCACATACAAGAATCAACCAATGAATGCATAAATAAGTAGAATAACAAATCGATGTCTCTCTCTCTCCCATATCCCTCTAAAATCAATAAATAAAAATTTAAAAATATACAGATGTAAAAGCCCTGCCTGCTTAATCAAGTACTGATGGGAGGCACCCAAGGTAGGGGTTGGATTGGTGGGGAGGAATCAATCCCATATTCTTTCACTCATTACCTATGAAGGATTCCAGCTTTATGGATACAGCTCACTGCTGAAACAATCTGAAACAGGTACCACACCACCATCTGCAGAGAAAAAAATAAATTATATTTGGACTGGAAACAAACAAAAATTCGACTTAAATACTCTCTCTCAAACAAATAAAATGAAGGAAGCTGCAACCAGGAGTTACGATTCAACATGACTTGACATCTCTTGCTTGCAGGTTGAACAGGCAAAGAAAAGTGGTAAGGGGTAAAAAGAAAAAGCAGGTCATCATAAAGTAGTTCCAATGTCAGTATAAAGTATAGTATGGTGAAGCAGACGTGTGGAAAGAAATCTGGGAAGAATGCAAAGGTATAGAAAACTGGGCATACCAGTATGCAGTAACAGAACCGGAAAAGAAAGCCCATAGAGAATCATGATGTGCAGGTAAACCATTTAGGAAGCAGCTATAGACAGCTTCCTTGTTAGAGGTTTCCTTTCTCATGAATGTCAACCAGAGCCTGGAAGAAGTGTGAACAAAAGGAAAAAAAAAATACTCTTCATTGTTGGAAGAGTTAATACAGAACCAGAATACAACACATTACAATTCTAGCTTCCTACCATAGAAATATGAATTACCTCTTCCTCAAACAACTTGTCCTTCTGACGAAGGATTTTGTCATACAGGTTTCCTCCTGCAATTAAACAAGAGACAGGTTTGAATTGCTTAATAGAGAACAAAGCTTGGTTCCTGTATCTACTAGGATTTTAACAGGTAACACAAATGAAGGATTCTGCTTCCTCTCCAAAGGAAATCCCTTCTTCCCTCTTGACTTTTCCATCTCTCAAGTACTGTATCAAAATATTCTTCAGAGATTCCCCTCTCTAATGGAAGAGGCTCAATACAAAAACAGGAAGTAAGACATTTTAAAAAGAGGAGAGTAAAAACCATTCCTATAGTACCCCAATTAGTGAAAATATCTTGAATGTCTTCAAAATCAGGTGATTGTCTTTTCTAGAACTTCTTTAAAAAGAATCTGCAACATTTTTGTAACATCTCTCTCAGTATGACTACGAGAACATTTGGGTTACACCAGTGATAAAATGTTTTGTATTTACAGGTATATATAAACTTCTTTTTCTTTCCACTGAAAATATTTCCCAAAGTTTAGGGAACACCCTAGACCAGCAATTTTCAACCAGTGTGGAGCGGTACCCTGACGTGCCACAGAGGCACACTGGTGGGCTGCAAGAACTTTTAAAACATGCAATACCTGACTATTTAGTCAGGGGCACTAACCTCTTTTCCCTTAGGTTGTCAAATAAAAAAATGACAACAGACAACACAATAGTATCTGTTGTGTGTGAATCGAAATTATACCTTTTTTTTTTGTCAGATCTGCAAAAAATGTATTTTATGGTGTGCCACAGAATTTTGTAATTAATTTATTTGTGCCATGAGATAAAAAAGAATGAAAATCGTTTCTCTAGACTGTTTCTAATCATTATTCCCTTTACTAACTCATTACTGCAGAGTAAGTCTGAATTTGCTTCTCCCTTTCTTTTATCAAGTAATCCTATATAATCAAGAGCTAATATGGTAATTAGATTGGACAGCAGAATGACCTTCTGGAACGACCAGTGGGTGGGATGAGGGGCCATGAGGTAGCCGGGGCTGCAAGGGCCGCCCCTTGCATGAATTTCGTGCATCGGGCCTCTAGTACAGACTATAAATGATCATGGGTCATTTTACTTCCTACCTGCAACTACAACTTACACTTTAGCCCTGGCTAAGTTTCACAACTTTCTCTCCCTCCCTAACCCCATAATTTAGTAACTAGAAGTTTCAATAAAGGTACCCTTTGTTCTAGATCTTCTAACCACAAAGGAAGTTAACTACTTGAGGCTTCTGCTACTTCAGAAATCTCTATTATAATCTTGTGCATGTAGGGTTGATCAGAACTAGGACAACCATGATATACAGGAGTCTAGACAAGAAAGTTAGAATCGAGGAGCTTTCTCTTAGAGATTTAAGTGAAGAATATGATGAGACCACTATAGCAGGCAGCTCAAGAAAGGACTGGGGAGATTCTCTTATGTAATAAGGGTAATATTTAGTTCATTATAAATCAAACATTTGCTATATATCAAGTACAATGCTAGGGTCTTTACACAGTCATTTAATACAATAACCCTAAGATGTATGTTATGAACTGTTATCAACAAACTTGTAAGCTGAGACACAGAAAAGTTAAGTTTCTTGTGCAAGGTTACAGAGCTAAAGTCATGAAGCTTGGGATGTGGGTTCAGAGTCTATTTTCTTAACAACTAGACCATTACTGCTATCTTACAAGCAAAAGGGTCGCAAGAAATCAGAGACCAGATAAATAAAGCCATGTTTTACTATATTATCATTTTCATTCAGTTATGACCTTTGGACCACTTTTTAATAGGACAGCTTTCACTGAAGTCAACATAAATCAGTTATCACTTGTAAGATTCCATTAAATATTTTACCAAGCCACAGTATGTCTCTAATGCCTAACTCATGTCATTTTGTGAGGAAAAAAACCTTGAAAAATGAATGTAAAATCCGACTGAACATGTGATTTGAAGATGAAACTGTAGTCACAAGGCAGAATTTGAGAATGCAGGGAAAAGTCCCTCCCTTTATTTTGTGCATCACTTCAAAACTATTCTCTAAACTCAAGAAACCCATAAGTTCTTATCACTCTATTTGTCTTTTCTTTTTTAATCCACTTCAAGGTAGGAATGAACAGACTGTCTTGCTGAAGGAAGTCCCACTGAATTCTACCTTACCGTTACAATATTCCAGCTCAATCAGCAGGGTGGTATTGTCCATGAAGTGATTGTAGTAGGCAATGATGTTGTCATGCTGCAGCAGTGCCAGGATAACAATCTCATTCAAGGCATCCCGTCGTTCCTTCTCCGACAGTCGGGTCAAATCAACTTCCTTCCACACAACCAATGAATCATCCTACAACACAGCAACAGTTAATAGTGTAGCAAATAAATCCACACATGGATCTGTAAACCTAGGAAAAAAACTTCCTAGATGAGAAGAGACTGACTGCTTCTATTTTTTCCTTTAAACAAAAATCATGAACAGACTTTGAAGGTTCCGCATACAATTAAGATCATAATTTGCTGCAGGACCTTATTGCTACACTTAATTTGCATGATACCAACTCCATGTAAAAATATGGGATGGAAGTAATTTCAAAGATTCTGTTGAGTGACATATGACAGACTGTTAGTCATGATGAGCATTGTAGTAGGGGCTAGAATATTGGAGAAATAGAGAACTGGAGAGTAGTTATCTGTGGGTGACCAGTTTCTTGTAAAATGGAAATTAAACTTGCCTCTAATATTATCAATTTAGATTTCTCTAGTGATTTTTATTTACTCTTTCTGGATAAGAAGAAGTCATAGCTAAGCCCTTTGAGTTCATTTAACTCATGCTGCCCATTTTGCAACTTTATCTCCCGTCACTTTTATGTATTACATGTTTTTCTCTATTCATGAAAATTTACCTGCAGCTCCCAATATCCTCTCTTTTATAATATCTCTAATTCTTTCCTGACACTGCTCCCTAGCCCAGGAACATCTCTGCCTAAACAACCCTCCCCAGACGTTAGCATGGCTCTGCGAGGCCATTCAACCTTTTTGGGAAGGTCCTAATGAACCTTCTGCTGTACATTTACTCAATGCAACCATTCCCTTAATTTTCAGAGGTCATACACTAAAATGATTTGTCCATTCTTTTCATATATACATACCACTTAAATGTTACTTGTTTACGAACTGGTCTTTCCATTGAAATGGAAGCTTCTTGAAGGAAAGAGCTTCTTCTAATTAAATCTTTGTAAATACACAGATCTAATAAATATTTGGTGATATGGATAATGTTATATAGTTTTTGGGAAGTGTAATCAAATTTAACTTAAAACAACCTCAGTAATTACGTTCAACATGATAATAATGGAAAGGCATGGGGCAAAGAGGTATAAAACTTTGTTCAGCCGAAGATTTACTTCTAATTTAAGTGAGCAAGTCATTTTAATATACTTTTAGTTTCTTTAACTATAGATAGGTACACTAATGCTCATCTCCTCTTCCTCATATTGTGAGTACAAATAAGAAAACAGAATACTGCCTGGCTGATGTGGTTCAGGGGTTGAGCCAGGAAGGTCAGGGTAGGATTCTTGTCAGGGCACACGCCCCCTTGGGCTCCATCCCCAGTAGGGGGCGTGCAGGAGGCAGCCGATCAATGATACTCATCACTGATGTTTCTCTCTCCCTGTCCCTGAATCAGTAAAAACATATCTTCAAAAAAAAGAAACTAGAATACTAACAGTCACTCTAACATCATACATTAATGTGAATTAGGGTAAAAAAGAACACGTAAAGATACTCTCCTGCAACCACCTCTCTCCCCCATCTTTCAGCCTTAAAACTAGGTTAGCTCGGGACACACACAACTACAGATGGATCGCTGACGGATGAATCAGCTTCAGTAACCAGCAAGTTCTCATTCAGCGCTTACCTATTCTAAAGCTTAGGTTTTGAGGCTTTATTGATCAAAGTCAGTTTATGGTTAGTTTTTTGTAAAGTGGAGTCACCACCTCGGGGCTTTAGTTAGTATATATTGTGAACTTAGGGGTCAGTGACCTACGGATCTCTTCGAAGAAAACGTAGGGGTGCAAATGTGGATGGGGCGATTGTGTTCACATTAGGTTCTCAAAGGAGTCCTTGTGCCCCCCCAAAGTTAAGACTTAGGCTTAGAATATAACAAAAAAGTATTACCCAAGCATAAAGCTGCTGGGTAAATACTGATGAAGAAACCAACACACCCAGGCCTCCCAACGATCTTCAAGAAAAATCTCCAACTGAGTGTTCACATCGGAACTTACAGACACCGGCAAAGACATCGGAGCTGCCTCCTCCCCACCCTGACCTCGGAGAGCCGTACAGCGGGGGAGGAAGTGAAGTTTGGACAACGCCTCACACTCACACATCACTTCGGTTTTACACTTTGTAAAGCATCGTCGCTTAATTTTCAACATAACCTTTAAAGTTTATTCTAAAGGTGGTTCTGACTAACCCCATTTTACAGATGGGGAAACTAAGGCTACGAGGAGGTTCCATGCCTTGCCCCGTCCCCGGGCTAAACAGAAACGACCCGCCAGGATGGCGGCGACCTAACCCATTCCCAGCGCGGGGACCGGCGGCGGGCGCGGGGGCCGGGCCGCTACCTCGGTGCGGCGGTACAGCGTGGCCTCCCCGAAGGCGCCGCGGCCCAGGACGCGGATGGGGAAGTAGTGCAGCTCCTCCTGCTCCGCCGCGCCGCCCGCTCGCGGCCCCGGACCGGCGCTGGGCCCCGGGCCCGAGTCGCCGCCACCCCCGGACTCGCTCCCAAAGTCCGAGTTGATGGAATCGCAGTGTCGCTCGTACTCGCCCAGCACCGACATGGCGGCGGCCGCGGGACCGGCCTGCGTGTCACCCGGGGCGCTGGCCGCGCGGCGCTTCGGTCGCTTCAAAAGCCAGCCCGCGGCTCCGGCAGCCCCGCCACCCAGCGAGGTTCCATGGGGGCCCCTGCCTCCTGACCCGGAAGCAGTTGTGGGTGCTTCCGGCCCGGCGGCGTTTCCTCCGCCCTCGCTGGCCCACTGCTGAGTCCGGCGCCCGGGCTTTCCTTCCTCCCAGCTGGCGGGGAGAGTGGGGCCTCGCGCCGCGGTTGGCGAGCGTGTGGTAGGGCCCGCGTGGAACCGACGGGCTCCGGCAGGAGCGAGGCGTCACCGCCGGGTCTGTAGACCACCTCCCCGACCCCTGGCCGGTCCCGAGACAGCTTCGAAGTCCGGAGTTCGTCCGGGCTCATCTTGGCGCCTGGCCTCTCTCGGGGGCAGTGACTGGGGGAAGCAGTCCCTTCCGAGGTTGCACCGCGCCCTTTGTTTAGACTCTACCTTCCTAATGCCGGGACCCTTTAATACAGTTCCTCATGTTGTGGTGACCCCCAACCATAACGTTATTTTCGTTGCTACTTCATAACTGTAATGTTGCTGCTGTTATGAATCGTAATGTAACTCTGATATGCCGGATGTATTTTCATTGTTACAAATTGAACATAAAGCATGGTGATTAATCACGAAAACAATATGTAATTATATGTGTGTTTTCCGATGGCCTTAGGCGACCCCTGTGAAAGGGTCGTTGGACTCCCAAAGGGGTAGCAACCCACAGGTTGAGAACCGCTGGTTTAGGGAGATACTGTAGTACGCCGACATACGTACTTGTCTCCTGTCATCTTAAGAGTCAGTGGGTCCACTTATTTCTCCCAGGACTACCCTAGGTCCCTCCCTCATACACAACTCCAAAAAATTGTTAAGCCAATTCTGACACTGTTCTTACCTTTTTAAAATATTTAGCATTCTTTGGTCTTTGACCACCTGAATTCCATGCAGCATTCTTTGAGAGTTAGGTGTCACTGGGGGTGGGGGATCTCCCTGGCCTCCGGCTACTAAGGGAATCGCAATGCCTGGATGAACGTGTTCCATCAGTTATGTGACCAGGGGCAACTTCACACCTCCAAGCCTGTTTTTTGATCTGTAAAGTTGGTAATATGATCTACATCAGAGAGATAACAGCTAACATTTATAGAGTTTCTAGCACCATTCTAAGTGGGTTTTTTTTTTTCCATGTGCCATCCCCCTTAATCCTATTATTCCCATTCTACAGAAGGAACCAAGATACAGAGAGGTTAAGTAACCTGCTCAATGTTACAGTAAGGGGAGCTGGGAGTCAAATCAAGCAATCTGGCTCCAGATCTCTTCCCCAAGCAGGATGTGTTGGGGCTAAGAGAAAAGTTACCTGGCTGGAGGACAGGGTGCCATGTGGGGTAGAAGAAGGAGACAGGGCCTCAAATATAGTTTTATAGTTTTGCTTTTCCTGTGGGCAATGGAAAATTATTGGAGATTTTTAAGGAAATATATGATTAGTATGACTGTATGTCCCTAGTTGCTGGGTAAGTCCCAGCGTAATAGAGCCTTCTTCTGCTCAAGTGCCCAGCTCAGACAATAAACAATACAGTCACCTTACATAAGATCCAAGTTATATTTTACAAAGAACTCTGATGACAATGTGGAAGACAAAGACTGGAGGCAGGAAGACCAGTTAAGAGGCTATTTATATTCTAAGAAAAGAAAAGGCACTAAGGAGCTATCAGTGTTGAGTGGAGGTGGAGAGAGGTCCAGGTTGAAGAAATCCATCCAAGGAACCATTTAAA